ATGGTGAAGCTAAAATATCAAACAACAAGCAATCTCAGAAATGCAATGTAGTAATGTAGTATGGTTATAGTTGTTAAAAATTTAAGTAGGTGTTGAGAATGCTTACACTCCAAGGAGGAATGGCCAAACCTCTGCCCTAATACTTGGATCAACTCCCTACATTCAGAATCTTTTAGGATGAATAATCTGAATGAAGGTGATACATACTTGAAAAAATAGATCTGATAACATTTTGAGAAGCAAACATATAGGACAAATGCGATAGAAACTCACTCCACTGCGAACTTTTTTCACCAACTTAACTCCACCATCGCGAAGCTTTCCATCTGGTGTAAAGAAACTTCTCCAGTGATGAGCTGCAAGGGCATGTTTTCTTTTCCGACGGGACCAAGGTGACTTAAGACGAGTCCTGAAATTAAAAAGAGTAACCACAATCAATAATGGTCAATAAAGAAGCCACCACCTATATTGACTTAATACAGGTCGCCAACAATCACACAACAAAATTAAAAAATTGAAGATACAATGCATCCGTGTATGAATGAAAGGCTAGCATAGCATAAAGGAGTGGACTTTGCAAAGCATTTTGTATGGTTGAAACTTTCATGCAAAAAACATTCTTGCATAAGTGAAAAAGAAATTAGATCATTTTAAAACTCAGGACATTCAACATAAGCATGCAATTAAAGTCTAATATCTGAGCAAATGAGCTTGTTAGAGCAAATTACTTTCTATGAAGCTTTGGTTGTACATTAATAGATACACACTATCTTTTCTTTAAACACCGTGCCTACGCAGCAGGACTAGACAGAAAGCCATCAATAAGGAATCAAAATACTGATAATCACAATAACATTGCAGTTCAATTGATTGACTTAAGAATCCCAAAACACTTTAAACCCAACTAGCTGTTGAGAACACTAGTTAAAAGTTAAATTATAACTAGAATCAGGTTTATCATGTTTGACTCATTAAGCCACTGCATTGTTTCCCACTGGCAGCAGAAAAACACAAACTCCCCACATTTATCTAATTAAAACATAAAAATCCAACTTGATTAGAAACCATGCCCCTGAGCCAAAAACAACAGAAATCTTCTAGAAGCAACCCCATACTCATATGAAATCATTCCATTTACGACTTGCAGCGATCGAACCCAGAACTTTTTACAAAATCGAACTTAAGAAATGGCTAAAAGAAAAAAAGAAAATGAAAGAGGATCAACTCCCAAAGAAGCAACCAGAGCCCAAGAGTTGAAAAAAATTAAAATAAACAAATCAAGTAACATGAAGTGAAAATTTAAAATATAATTGATTGAAAAAGGCAACAGAATGTGAGTGAAGAAGGTGACACAGAAGAGCGATGGAAGTGAAAACCCCACTAAAACACTAAGATTGAGCTAAAATTGGTACTAAAAACATGAACTTGAAGTTTCCCAAGATCGAGATCTAAGAGCCGCAAAACGAAACAAAAGCTTTAGAGAGTTAAAGAGAGAGACTCACCGATCAGAGGAAGAACAATGAGCTGGTGAGGAAGAGGACACGACTAATAGAACCGAACGCAAATGAATCCACGAAGACGACGACGACGAAGATGAAGAAGGAGAGGAATTTGAACTCGAAGGCGACGAAGTGTGACTTCGTCGTAGAGCTCTCATCTATGAGTAATTTTTTTTCTTTTTCGTTAAATCAATAATATACTGTCTGTTCTTCTTCTTCTAGGGTTTGTTTTTGAAAAAGTTGAAAGCTTTTTTACCTAGTGGCAGTGCAGAACACGGCCACCACCACAGCAAGCCCAGCCAAGGCCGTGACGGCGACGGCCACGTGCGACGGAGCCGCCGACCATAACCCGCCTCCACCGGAGATAAGGTTGTTGCCGGTACCGGAGGGGATCATGGAGGTGGGTAGTAAATGACAGGAATGCCCTTGTGATCTGCTGCTTCTGCCCCTTGTTGCAGAAGTGGGTTTGGGATTAATGGGATGTTTAATTAATTTACCCAACTGAATACTGGACTGGAAGTGTGAATGAATGAAATATTGAATGGCGAAAAAGAAAGCCAACTGCTTTGGCTTGCTTGCTTTGTTTTACTATGAAAGTCTTTTTCTTTGTCTCTCTCTAGAGCCTAGAGAGTGTCTCCAGAGTAGACCCCATTATAAAGAGGAGTGGGAAGAAGAAGAGAGTCGAGAAATAAAGTGTGGTGAAAATCCTACCACAGTGGTAGCCATTAGCCATATAAGTAGGTCAAGTCAAGCATTTCCTAATTTTCTTCTTTTACTGGGTATTGTATAGTGTCTACTTTTATACTCATACCTTTCTATTTTTTAATTTTTATTTATAAATATATATATGTATCTTGTCACCTTATTATGTTAATGGTTTATATGACTAACCAGCCCAATCATGTGAGATGGGCAATTAGTCAAATTAGATGCAGGGGTCAGGGACTCAGGGGCATTATTGATAAAAAATAATTCAGAGTGCCAAAGCAACAAGACTATACAAATCAATAGAACTCTTTGGACCAAAAAGAAAAAGAAAAAGAAAGAGGAAAATTGGAGCTTTTATGGAGAGTCTCTCAGTCTAGATAAACAAATATTTGGGATCTGAGAAGTTTGGTATAGGGTGTCATTTCTTTCAATGCAAATATAACCACAAGCTTCGATCTTAGTTGGTAAAAGTTCACCAAACCCAACCCACTGTCATTTGATTTGAGTGATTGCTTCTTTCTTACCTCCTCCATTATCATACAAAGGTACATTTCCTTCAAGTTACTCCTCTACTTTACTTTACTCGAACCTCGGCAGCATGCTTAACTTATTATTGCTTGCTCCCATGCTAAAATATAAATAACAGTCAAAGTTATCAGATTTCTTAATCACAAACACTGTTTCCTTGAGCTGTCTGCATAGATTAAGATAAAGGGTCAAATCCAGTCAAACTGAGTTGATTTAGACATGATTAATTTGCTTAAATTAGCGGTAAAGAAAGAGCAGTATGACACTTTACTTAATCATGCTATGCATCATGCATGCAGATATAATAGTTATAGTGCTCAAATTTGCCCAACTAAATTGTTAACTAACAGGTAAGTAAACTTGGCTGTGGAAAGGAAGGTGGTTCAGCAAATTGTGGTCAACAAAATCGGCCGCAGAGCTTTTGGACATGGTCAAGAAAAAGGCGCCAACCCTATGAATATGATGTGAATAATAATGCCTCTTTCACAAAGATATACCTTAAGTGTCACATTTAATTGAAAATCTTGGTACATAACACTGTAGTAGTTTTAAGAACAAGCTTACTTTAAAACCATATCTGCATATGATATGCAACAGTTCAGAGTCCACAGACGAAAACATGTATTAAGAGCAATTTCCTTTCATAAAAGAGGAAAAGCAGGAATGAAAAAAGAAGGGAAAACTATGGTTAGTGGAGAATATGCTCCTTCTTTCTTTCTTTCTTTCTTCTTCCCACTTTTCTATTTTTCTCCTCTCTCTCTCTCTTTTTACTGGAGTTATTTATTATTGGTTAGTGTTATTTTGTTACAAAAAACATGCAAAATCATGAACTTTTCTGCAGGGCCCTTGTATGTTGCATGGCCTACACTTTACATTCTTTTTTATCACCCACCACAATCATTAAAGAGATTCTAGAGCATAATTTCGAGACCCCAAAGTGAGCCATAAGACAATGACAACACGCCTGTGGTCAGTGCTTGTCTCAATAAACTCCTGCCTGCTGAGATGAAAATGCAGTGACAGTGAGCCTTCCATCAATCTGCTATTCTTAAAGCATGTTAAAGAATCTGAAATCAAATATGATGGCCATTCCAGAAAAGTAATTGCTTTGGCATTCTTGGCAAAACTTAATTAGGGTATTGATTCATATATTGTAATTCATTATCCATGATGGTTTGCACCATCATTCATTTTACTCTCCACTACTAAGTCCAATTATGTGAGAGTGACTTTCATAATCGCTTTTAATTAACGTCACAACACTACACTTGGTAATCGGCATTAAAACGCACCTTTTAACTAAATATATATGTGTATGTACTATGATCATGATGGTTTATACTTGATAGTGTTTGCTCTTAGTGGGTTTGGAGAATCAATGAGCTTGTCGCATTTGGTAGATCCCAGCGCCAAAGCCAAAGCCAAAGCCAAAGACAAGATTACTTATTTTAGACACCATTTCTTCTCAGCCATACATGAAAATGAGGTTCATTTAGCCATTAACATGAACATGAGCAAAAAACATCTGCTTCTTCTTTGTAAAATATACTTTATCTTCTTGGGCCAATTGCATGGATTGCTTGAAAGAGAGGAGGGGGACGAAATTTTTGAGGACTTGAACGCATGTTTAGAAACCCAAGTCAGTTTTCCTGGGATGGAAATGGGAAAGATACAAAAGTTTACAGCCTCATCTTATGTCACCCATAGAACAATGCACTTGATTAAACTATGCACATATTTAAACAAGTGGATGATGGTCTGCAAGTAGAAGGTGCTCTCGTGCTCCTTCCTTGTCATGTGCTCAAGTCAGGCATTGGTTTTATAATTTTATACATGTGCTTAAAAGAAGTAAGTAAAACCCACAAGCACTTTCATTGGCAAAAGCTCTTTTCTTTTTTAAGGGTGTGGTTCATGTTCTAAGTCTTGGAATGACCACTGGCGATCTCTAAATTGAGAATAAAAACGTCATGGGCCATTCCCAGTGCCCCTAAAATAACCCAAGTTACAAAGAAAATAGTAATTGAACCCAGAAAATAATGGTTTTAGAACATAGCTAAGGAATCTGTAACTTGCATGTGCACGGAAAAGATCCACAAGAAAAAAGAAAGGTTGCACATCTTGGCACGTCAGTCCTAAAAAATAAGGTACCTGTAATGAAGACGATAGATATAGATACATTGAGTGCATTTGCAGATTCCCAATATGGTTCTTCTAATCATAAAACAATGTAAACCAAACGCAAGGGATAACTTTATTAATGCTATAGACAAAGTTATCCAACCAAAGCACGGCACGGTCAGGATAATCTAATTAATCTGACTCGTGTAACCTGTGCCTCACAATGCAACCAACCACAAGATAGAAAGAGGGCGAGGAAGACAATAAAATTGCATCCAGGACTGAAAAGTACATCAAACTACCTCTTATTTCAGTTCTTACTATCACCACGGAGGACCATCGAAGGTCACCAGTTCTAATTATTAGTATGAAAAGCCAGCAGTGAATCACAGTGATTTCTGCCTAAAGCATAGAACACATTACCAAGTTCACATGCAAATACATAGGATGCAAGTGCAACATCTCACAGAGCCAACGACATTCTCCTCCTACAGGTTTGAAGCTGCACTCTTGTCTAAAAACCAAGTTAACTCATCCTCAGCTGAAAGCAACTGAGCAGGCAAAGTTTCAGAATGCTGACTGTTTCCAAGTGCCGTGCAGACAGCACTAGCTTTTCCCTCACCGGTCACTACCATTGCATTATATGCAGCAGAGTTGATCACTGGAAAGGTGAAAGTAATCCTCTCTGGAGGTGGTTTTGGTGAGTCCTTAATGCAAGTGACCCATTTGTTCTTCTCGTTGACAAGAGGATGACCGGGGAATAGAGAAGCAAGATGTCCATCTGGGCCCATACCCAGAAGCATGAGATCAAACTTTGGAAACCCAGTAGTTTTTGAAGTGGCTATCACATTCCGCTGAACCAAATGTTTAAGACAGGTCTCATAATCATCTGCCGCTGCCTCAGCTGAAAGTGCATCATTAATGCCATAAACCTGGCCCGGGGGAATTGTTACCTACCAAAATACCAAAACATGGCAAGATTAAGTGGATGAATGAAAGTTATCCAACCAAAGCACGGCACGGTCAGGATAATCTAATTAATCTGACTCGTGTAACCTGTGCCTCACAATGCAACCAACCACAAGATAGAAAGAGGGCGAGGAAGACAATAAAATTGCATCCAGGACTGAAAAGTACATCAAACTACCTCTTATTTCAGTTCTTACTATCACCACGGAGGACCATCGAAGGTCACCAGTTCTAATTATTAGTATGAAAAGCCAGCAGTGAATCACAGTGATTTCTGCCTAAAGCATAGAACACATTACCAAGTTCACATGCAAATACATAGGATGCAAGTGCAACATCTCACAGAGCCAACGACATTCTCCTCCTACAGGTTTGAAGCTGCACTCTTGTCTAAAAACCAAGTTAACTCATCCTCAGCTGAAAGCAACTGAGCAGGCAAAGTTTCAGAATGCTGACTGTTTCCAAGTGCCGTGCAGACAGCACTAGCTTTTCCCTCACCGGTCACTACCATTGCATTATATGCAGCAGAGTTGATCACTGGAAAGGTGAAAGTAATCCTCTCTGGAGGTGGTTTTGGTGAGTCCTTAATGCAAGTGACCCATTTGTTCTTCTCGTTGACAAGAGGATGACCGGGGAATAGAGAAGCAAGATGTCCATCTGGGCCCATACCCAGAAGCATGAGATCAAACTTTGGAAACCCAGTAGTTTTTGAAGTGGCTATCACATTCCGCTGAACCAAATGTTTAAGACAGGTCTCATAATCATCTGCTGCTGCCTCAGCTGAAAGTGCATCATTAATGCCATAAACCTGGCCCGGGGGAATTGGTACCTACCAAAATACCAAAACATGGCAAGATTAAGTGGATGAATGATTAACGTATGTCTCTTAGGCCCTTGCAAGACTAAGTATGGCCACATGCTTACTTAAAGTTTGATACAAGACAGCTTACCGTTGAATTGAAAAGCATGAGACCACCTAATAATTAGTAGAGGAAACCTAAATAATAATATGCATGGATCAGAGCCACACATCAAACATTTACTCCGGTCACCCTTAACCTCAAGTGTACGTTTCTTTCTTTTGCTCATAACCAGTTAGTTATTAGTTTCAATTTACTGGTGCACTCACTAACATCACATCATGTTTAATCACAAAATCGTCACCTCAAATCCAAATAGTTTTTAGTAACATAGAATTATTTTCCTTTCAAAATAGAAAACACTAAGCCTCAAAGTATAATCTACAGAAAGACATCAACATAAACACAAAGTTAAGCTGCCATTGCTTTTCTTCATTATTGAAACCATAATTCCTATCCAACCCATAAACACAAAGGCAAGACCAAAAATTTCCAAATTTCACGAGAAGAAAAACAACAAGAGCAGTATCAAAATAAAATTCACGGCTTTTACATCAAAATAAAATTTACGGCTTTTACATGGAACATAGCAAAAGCTAGTGTTTTTACACAACGATTCAGAAGAAAGCATAAAAATTCTAGATAAAGTTCGAACTGTACACGATATATAATTTACCTTACAGAGGAAACCATCAAGAGCAAGCTTGTAGTTACTGTCAACGTGATCCCTCTTCGTACTTGGCCAAACGCACCGCCACTTCCTCCTCCGTCTCAAACTTCTCTATCTTCTTATTCTGACCCGCCATCCTAGCTGATGCTGATGCCGATGCAGATGCAGAAATTGGGTTCTTGAAATTCGTGCGAACGGATTTAAACGAGAGAGCTTGGAATATTGGTGACACTCGGAGAAAGATCAGCGGCGCGCGAGATGTACGAGGCGATGAGAGATTCGTGCGGAGAGACGATGAGAGAGAAAGACGGGTAGATGCGCACATGGAGGAGGCCATGCTCAGTGCGCACCCAATTTATTATAGCTACTGGTTATGAAAATGACCGATTGGACCCAAAAGTTGTCTTGCAATGATCAGTGAGAGCAAGTTGGTTCGATATCCATCGTGCAAGAATTCTATAATTACGGTCTTAAAAGTCATATACGAGAACCTCACTATAAAATAACCCATCAGAGTGTGCTTTTGGTTCTGTTAGGCTGTTTAGGCTTCGGCCCACTTCCTTCTTTTTGTTAAATACGGCCCACTTCATTTTCATTTTAAAAAGCCCATTTCTGTTTTACAAACTCGCAAAACCCTAATATGGGCATTTCGTGTCGCATATAAACAAGAAAGCTTAGGAGCAGAAGAGTTTTGTTGCCGTCGAGGGAGAGACAGAGAGTCGGATGGACCCAAAAGTTGTCTTGCAATGATCAGTGAGAGCAAGTTGGTTCGATATCCATCGTGCAAGAATTCTATAATGAGGAACTTATATACGGTCTTTAAGTGAGGTCTTATTTTTTAATCGTTAGATAAATTAGTTAATTTGATATAACAATTAAAAGATAGAACCTCACTTAAAAGTCATATATGAGAACCTCACTATAAAATGACCCATCATAGTGTGCCTTTTGGTTTGGTCTTTAGTCTCAACGGTAACTGACTTGGGCGGTAAACCCAAGGGACGAGCGTGGGTTTCTGTTAGGCTGTTTAGGCTTCGGCCCACTTCATTTTCATTTTAAAAAGCCCATTTCTGTTTTACAAACTCGCAAAACCCTAATATGCGCATTTCGTGTCGCATATAAACAACAAAGCTTACGAGCAGAAGAGTTTTGTTGCCGTCGAGGGAGAGACAGAGAGTCGGAGAAGATGCAGATCTTTGTGAAAACCCTCACCGGGAAGACTATCACCCTTGAGGTGGAGTCCAGCGACACCATCGACAACGTCAAGGCCAAGATCCAGGACAAGGAAGGTAAACCATTCCCGTTCTCTAGTCTCTCTACATTTTGCAATCATCAATTACATGCTCAAATTCAAAGTAGTACGATTGAACGGTGATGATTTTTAATGGCTAATTTGTTTCTTTTTATTTATTTTTTTAGGTATTCCACCGGACCAGCAGAGGCTCATTTTTGCCGGGAAGCAGCTCGAGGATGGCCGTACTCTCGCCGACTACAATATCCAGAAAGGTTACCTTCTTATTTCCCCCTGTTTGGTTGCTCAGAAACTCTAGGAAAATGTTATCTGGATTGATACCTTTTCATTCCTTTATTGATATCGTTAGGGTATGCGATTAGCGCTAAGACTTAGTATAATTGTGAAGTGTTCAAGTTGATTTTAAAATGTGAATGAGTTTTTGAATTATGTATCCCGTCACTATGGGGATTATGCTTTGCTGATAGTACAGATAGATGAGAAATGATTTTGATAATTATAAATTTAGCATTTTCGTAGTCAATTTATTCCAACTTTGGTCAAAGGTCTCAAAGCAGGGTTTGGACCCAGTGAGTACCTACTTTATTTGTGTTGCAGGCAGGTTTGTGGTGTTAATACTTGAGAATATATGCTTTCTGTTTATTTGTTGTTTGTCTGAAAATTTCTGTTGCTTTAATACTTTCCAGAATCAACTTTGCATTTGGTTCTGAGGCTCCGTGGTGGGATTATTGAGCCGTCTCTCATGGCATTGGCTAGGAAATACAACCAAGATAAGATGATCTGCCGCAAGTGAGTTCCCAACTTTCTGTTAAGCTTTACACTGGTTTCTTTTGTTTGTCGAGTTCCAATGAAGTCATCTGGTTGTTTTATGAATATAAGCCTACTGAAAATGTTGTTCTTTATCTAGGTTTTCATCAGTTTCCTACTTAAATTCCTTACTTTTTCCACTCACACAACTTCTTTGACATTATTGTATGGATGCTTGTGAACAGGTGCTATGCACGTTTGCATCCGCGTGCTGTCAACTGCAGGAAAAAGAAGTGTGGACACAGCAACCAGGTATTTCCTATAGGAGATAGACCCTGTTACTTTTCTGAATACCAGATTTTTGAGTTTTGTTCTTTATTCGTGTCATTTTCTGTATGAATGCAGCTGAGGCCAAAGAAGAAGGTCAAGTAGACTGTGGATCGTGCCAGCAGAATATTGTGTTTTACTAGGTCATTTAGGTCATTGGCTATTTCATTTGAAACTCTTAGCCTCAAACAGTTTTCTGTTAGAAAGTTTAGAAACATTAATATGTTCGAACTTTACTTGTTTTGGGATTTCTATTTTCCTATGTTTTATTTCGCCATGGTTTGAACCTCTTTGAAGAATGGCATTCATTAAGCTTGAGCCTTTCCATATCGCATATTTTTATTTTTGTGTGTTATTATTGTAACGGGAATGATGAAATTTGTACTTCCACAATCCATATATAATTTGGATACGCCCGTGATTACTGCAAATGGTAATAAGAACGTACATTCTAGCACACAGGATAAGGCTAAGTTAAGGATTCTCTCCCGTATACAGAAGCAAACCATTTTTCATTTGTCCACGACTGTGTTTGCCAATATGACCAGTTGCGATTATTTGTTGAGTAATGTTCGCTTTCCCAGCTTCTTTACGCCAAAAGCACAAAAGTAGCCTCTTTCCTGCTTACTTTCCCCACTTATTCTTCACATTCTGATCTTGTTAAGGGCACTTTCAATTTCATTTTTCCTGTGTATTCCATGTTTTAAGTTTCAACACAACAACTCGCCAAAGCTTGTTCTTGTCCAAATTCATCTGTTCACGGAGGAGTACTTGGCCAAACGCACCGCCACTTCCTCCTCCGTCTCAAACTTCTCTATCTTCTTATTCTGACCCGCCATCCTAGCTGATGCTGATGCCGATGCAGATGCAGAAATTGGGTTCTTGAAATTCGTGCGAACGGATTTAAACGAGAGAGCTTGGAATATTGGTGACACTCGGAGAAAGATCAGCGGCGCGCGAGATGTACGAGGCGATGAGAGATTCGTGCGGAGAGACGATGAGAGAGAAAGACGGGTAGATGCGCACATGGAGGAGGCCATGCTCAGTGCGCACCCAATTTATTATAGCTACTGGTTATGAAAATGACCGATTGGACCCAAAAGTTGTCTTGCAATGATCAGTGAGAGCAAGTTGGTTCGATATCCATCGTGCAAGAATTCTATAATGAGGAACTTATATACGGTCTTTAAGTGAGGTCTTATTTTTTAATCGTTAGATAAATTAGTTAATTTGATATAACAATTAAAAGATAGAACCTCACTTAAAAGTCATATATGAGAACCTCACTATAAAATGACCCATCATAGTGTGCCTTTTGGTTTGGTCTTTAGTCTCAACGGTAACTGACTTGGGCGGTAAACCCAAGGGACGAGCGTGGGTTTCTGTTAGGCTGTTTAGGCTTCGGCCCACTTCATTTTCATTTTAAAAAGCCCATTTCTGTTTTACAAACTCGCAAAACCCTAATATGCGCATTTCGTGTCGCATATAAACAACAAAGCTTACGAGCAGAAGAGTTTTGTTGCCGTCGAGGGAGAGACAGAGAGTCGGAGAAGATGCAGATCTTTGTGAAAACCCTCACCGGGAAGACTATCACCCTTGAGGTGGAGTCCAGCGACACCATCGACAACGTCAAGGCCAAGATCCAGGACAAGGAAGGTAAACCATTCCCGTTCTCTAATCTCACTCTACATTTTGCAATCATCAATTGCATGCTCAAATTCAAAGTTGTACGATTGAACGGTGATGATTTTTAATGGCTAATTTGTTTCTTTTTATTTATTTTTTTAGGTATTCCACCGGACCAGCAGAGGCTCATTTTTGCCGGGAAGCAGCTCGAGGATGGCCGTACTCTCGCCGACTACAATATCCAGAAAGGTTACCTTCTTATTTCCCCCTGTTTGGTTGCTCAGAAACTCTAGGAAAATGTTATCTGGATTGATACTTTTTCATTCCTTTATTGATATCGTTAGGGTATGCGATTAGCGCTAAGACTTAGTATAATTGTGAAGTGTTCAAGTTGATTTTAAAATGTGAATGAGTTTTTGAATTATGTATCCCGTCACTATGGGGATTATGCTTTGCTGATAGTACAGATAGATGAGAAATGATTTTGATAATTATAAATTTAGCATTTTCGTAGTCAATTTATTCCAACTTTGGTCAAAGGTCTCAAAGCAGGGTTTGGACCCAGTGAGTACCTACTTTATTTGTGTTGCAGGCAGGTTTGTGGTGTTAATACTTGAGAATATATGCTTTCTGTTTATTTGTTGTTTGTCTGAAAATTTCTGTTGCTTTAATACTTTCCAGAATCAACTTTGCATTTGGTTCTGAGGCTCCGTGGTGGGATTATTGAGCCGTCTCTCATGGCATTGGCTAGGAAATACAACCAAGATAAGATGATCTGCCGCAAGTGAGCTCCCAACTTTCTGTTAAGCTTTACACTGGTTTCTTTTGTTTGTCGAGTTCCAATGAAGTCATCTGGTTGTTTTATGAATATAAGCCTACTGAAAATGTTGTTCTTTATCTAGGTTTTCATCAGTTTCCTACTTAAATTCCTTACTTTTTCCACTCACACAACTTCTTTGACATTATTGTATGGATGCTTGTGAACAGGTGCTATGCACGTTTGCACCCGCGTGCTGTCAACTGCAGGAAAAAGAAGTGTGGACACAGCAACCAGGTATTTCCTATAGGAGATAGACCCTGTTACTTTTCTGAATACCAGATTTTTGAGTTTTGTTCTTTATTCGTGTCATTTTCTGTATGAATGCAGCTGAGGCCAAAGAAGAAGGTCAAGTAGACTGTGGATCGTGCCAGCAGAATATTGTGTTTTACTAGGTCATTTAGGTCATTGGCTATTTCATTTGAAACTCTTAGCCTCAAACAGTTTTCTGTTAGAAAGTTTAGAAACATTAATATGTTCGAACTTTACTTGTTTTGGGATTTCTATTTTCCTATGTTTTATTTCGCCATGGTTTGAACCTCTTTGAAGAATGGCATTCATTAAGCTTGAGCCTTTCCATATCGCATACTTTTATTTTTATGTGTTATTATTGTAACAGGAATGATGAAATTTGTACGTCCACAATCCATATATAATTTGGATATGACCGTGATTGCTGCGAACGGTAATAAGAACGTACATTCTAGCACACAGGATAAGGCTAAGTTAGGGATACTCTCCCGTATACAGAAGCAAACCATTTTTCATTTGTCCACGACTGTGTTTGCCAATATGACCAGTTGCGATTATTTGTTGAGTAATGTTCGCTTTCCCAGCTTCTTTACGCCAAAAGCACAAAAGTAGCCTCTTTCCTGCTTACTTTCCCCACTTATTCTTCACATTCTGATCTTGTTAAGGGCACTTTCAATTTCATTTTTCCTGTGTATTCCATGTTTTAAGTTTCAACACAACAACTCGCCAAAGCTTGTTCTTGTCCAAATTCATCTGTTCACGGAGGAGAAAAAGAATGCAGTCGCAATAGAGTAAAATATGATCTAGTGATTGGTATCATTCTGGTTTCCCTGCTCCAAGAAACAAACATAACAACCGGATTCACCTTGTTTGGAAAATGTTTTGGATCATCTTTTGAGGTGACTCCCGTGCCGCATATTCCAACTGGAGCAACTCTTGGGAACGCAGGCGCCAACCCAAAGCACCCAAATTTTCTTCTGCTTGTTTCACTGTCTTCACTCCAGGTATGGGAATGGTCCCTTTGCAAATGCACCAATTTATAGCAACCTACAAACACAACAGTTTTTATTCATACTTAAATCGTTAGGCCCAAAGCCCGTCTAGCTATTCATGGCCATATAATCCTGTAAATTATGTTAGTGCCATAAGTAGGACGCATGCCAATATGTAATAATGAAAATTGAATTTACTTGTGGCATGGTTTTGCTCCGTTTTTTAGCAATTTCTTCAAGTGCGCTCAATAGAGGGTCCAGTCCTGGAAGAATTTGCCTGAATAGGAAGGCCCTGCAGAAACACCAATTAATCTGTAAACAATGTCTACTGGTTTCACACTCTGTCTACCTACCATATGGAAAAGGATAAATGAAGAAACCACGTACCGAGGGCCACGCGGAAGATTAGAGGGTGTATATTTCCCAGTAAGCATTCCAAGTCCTAAGGGACTATAAGCAATCAGGCGGATACCAAGAGAATCACATATATTCTTGATCTCCAGCTGATCTTCTCCCACGCTTAACAGAGAAAATTGCACCTAGAATCGGCTAAATATAAGATCAAGAGTTTCAGCACACAGCATGTGCAATAGTTTTTCTACTAAAAGCAGTGCTGGTTCCGCTTGAGCGCCATTTTTAACAGTAAAACAGAACCTGATTAGTTTCATATCATCAACATACCTGAGCTGTGCATAAGGGGACTCCCCGGGCTTTGAGGTAATCGTAGATTTTTACAAGCTGCTTCGGTCCGTAGTTGCTGACCCCAACAGCTCGAACTAAACCCTACATGGTACCATCTCTATGAGTTGATCATTTTGTGCTCAATCTTGAAGCCACAAGGAATTTTACATCATTTTATACTGTGTGGCTTGTGCTTACCTTGTCATGCATTGCAACCAACCCATCCCAAAGAGCTTTTTCTTGCAAAGGAGCATAATTTGCAGTTGACCAATGTAATTGTCCTATTCCAATTTGTTCAATCTGCATACGATCTATCGAGGCACTGGAAAAGAAATATTTGTTCATAGCCTGTTATTATAATAAGCTGAAGGTAGCTAGTGAGCTGTTTGGATGAACCAATTAATTAAAAGTGGGGAAGGTGCAACAGCATTCTAGTAAAGTTGGGGAAGCAGAGGAGAGAAGCACAAGGAGAAAAGCATACTTGCAAGCATTCAAAAACTGCCCCGGTGTTAGGCGCCAAGGATAGGCTGCAAACTTGGTAGCAATTACAATGTCCTTCTGCAGCCTCTTTTGCCCTGAAGAGATAGTTATTTAACAGCTTAGACACGTACAAGTTCATCATCAAATTAAGAAAATATTATCATATTATCTCTGCATCAAACACGAAGATTACCGACTATATTAAGTGAGTTTACGCTTGAATCGAATTCCATCTTGTAATTGTAGAGAAATTGGACTTAGTATCAATCAACCACAGGACATATTGTGCAGCATTTTAAAACTCCAAGTGACGGGGGCAATGCAGCAAAACTCAACCAGTTTTGTTCTTATATCTTAATTAATAGCTTTACGAATTAAACAACCTTCCTTGTAGACATTTTATCATTCACCATCTATCCAACATATGGGTTATACGAGAAAAAAAAAGTAAAAAACTTGAAAAGAAAATCAGACCTTGATACTCTCGGATGAACTTTCCAAGTAGTTTTTCACTCTTTCCATTCAACCTGCCGGTGCCATAGGAGTCCGCAGTGTCAAAAAGGTTGATGCCATTGTCCACAGCCAGATTGAAAGTCTGTTGAAGTTCATTGTCCATTGATTCCTGGTACCCCCAGAGAAGTTGGTTGCCCCATGCCCAAGTGCCAAACCCCATTGGAGACACACTCAGCGGACCCACCTTCACCTGCTCACTATATATAAGTTATAACTGATGACGCTGAAACATGCTTTTTTATGCATATAATTGTACATGACAATAGAGTGCAGAATGAGAGAAGCGAGAGAAAGATTGTTGTTACCTTTTCCCATGGCCAGAAGGGAGGGAGCTTGAGGAGCTTGGAGGGTGAAGAAGGGAGGTAAGTCTCACTTGAAGAGTCGATTGAAGAGCTGAAATAGGCTGTAGCTTTTAAGGTTAAGTAAGCCATTGATTTCCCTGTCTATCTTCTTTCTTGCTCAATTGTAAGTGTCACTTTGGGAAGACAGTTGAGGAAGAAGAGTGTGTCGTGTCAGTGAGTATGTGGTCAGGAATTTGGATATTGAATTAGTGATGGGCTGCAAGTGGGTTGAACAATATAATGGGCCTGCATAGTAAAGCCCAAAATAAACATGGGGCAATAGAAATTTTAAAAAAATTGTATAATTGTTATGACAGCTGTGGGATTTGAACCCACGCCCTTTCGGACCAGAGCCTAAATCTGGCGCCTTAGACCACTCGGCCAAACTGTCTTGTTGGTAGAGGCTCTGCCTGCGGTAATATAGTTTTGGCCAAAAGAAGATGTGGACGAACAAAATTAAAAAGAAAAATAATTGATCTGTTGACAGCTGTGGGATTTGAACCCACGCCCTTTCGGACCAGAGCCTAAATCTGGCGCCTTAGACCACTCGGCCAAACTGTCCTGTTGGTTAAGTATTCGCCTGCTGTGAATATAATTTTGACCAATAGAAGATGTGGACCAACAAAATTAAAAATAAAAAATAAAAATATTATCCTGTTGACAGCTGTGGGATTTGAACCCACGCCCTTTCGGACCAGAGCCTAAATCTGGCGCCTTAGACCACTCGGCCAAACTGTCCTGTTGGTTAAGTATTCGCCTGCTGTGAATATAGCTTTGACCAATAGAAGATGTGGACTAACAAAATTTTTTTTAAAAAAAAGAAAAATAATAATTTTGTTGACAGCTGTGGGATTTGAACCCACGCCCTTTCGGACCAGAGCCTTTCACTGGCGCCTTAGACCACTCGGCCAAACTGTCCGATGGTTGTAAGTTGTAACTCTGCCTACTAGAGATATATAAATGAAAAATATGATATTTTATTGTCTCAGGCTGTCAACTACTGTCTCCTTGTTATGTTGGGCTTATGTGTGCAGTGCGGCTTAGATATGAAACACATGATAAAATATTGGCCTTCTTGCTTGAGTGTGGCTGAAAAACTAGTTTTGCTTTCAAGTTATGGTAGTTACCTTTATTAACATCTGGCGCCAAATTGAAGGATTTTTTTTTTGTGGGTAAAAATTTGTTTAATATATTTTCATTGTGAATGAAATCCCATATAATACAAAAAGGATAGACCCACTAATAAAAACCTTCAATCGATGCATATCTCTGTTTCTAACTTGTATTAATTTTCTAGTGGTGGCCTGATATCAATTTCAAGCCACAGTTCAAAACATGGTGAGAAGAACAGATTAGTTTGTGCGGAAAGAATTTCCATCTGCTTTATTGTTTCATGCAATAATGCATCACACTCTTGATCAATTTGATGCTTGATGTCATATTTCAACAAGCTCATGGTCCTGCTCCAAGTGCAACACACACAAACAGATACATCCATGCATGGACAAGGACAAGGCTTAAACTTGCTTCTTCTCAAGTTCTCCAAACAAGAACTGTCTGTTGTCATGTTCTTTAATTGCTCTCGAGGCCTGTCTGTCTTGAGTTATGTCTCTATCTTTCTGGCCAAATCAGTAGAAGATGTTAATTGACCTTAATCAATAGCTTTGCTGAATCCATTCATATATATACCTCACTCATGCTCAATACATCAGAGGAAAAATCTTCAAAATAATTTACAATTTACATCCAATCTTCAAGTCCAGAAATTTAACCAGTGTGAACTAGTACAACGTGACGGATCAAACAGGATGCTTGGATCAAATCTATGCCAATCTTGAGGTGACAAAGAGGAGGCATCCACATGAGCCATGGTCAGAAGCTCATGTATTTCGTCTCCATGGCCCCCAACATCATTGCTTGTATTGTTCTTGTGTGACTGTATCACTCCTCTCGGCTCCAATTCCTCCTCTAGTCTCGAGCCATCAGCCATGATGTTTCCTTCCAACCCTTGACTAGGTTTTCCCACAACTTCATTTAGCTTCTGCATCTATTCAAAAGCAAACAACATGTTTAACTTGACTGCCTAGCTAGCTACAAGTTTAGAATGCGTTTTCAGATTATTATACAAGTTAAAAGTAAAAGTACCTGCATAAGCAAGGACTGCTTCTCCTCCTTTAAAGATTCAAAACGTGATGCTAAGTTGTCATAATCAGCCCTGAGTGTTCTGAAGTCTTGCTCTATTTGCTTTGACTTCCATCTAGCTCTTCTGTTCTGAAACCATATGGCAACCTGGCGAGGCTGCAGCCCAAGCTCTCTTGCAACCTGCACCTTCCTCCTTGGCTCGAGCTTTGAGTCCGCTTCAAATATGGACTCTAACAACCTGATTTGCTCATCGCTAAACCTCCTCTGGTTTTTGCTCTTGTTTTTCTTCCTCTTGGCAGTAGCATGTGGCTCTAGGCTGGTGGTCACAGAACCAAAGTTTTCTGCTTCAGAGCACTCTGTCTTCTCCATATATTATCTTGGTTCTGTGTGTTGCTGTGATAGATAATAATGGAGGGAAGAATAAGATAATGCTAATTGTAGGTGATGGTGCTTTTAGAATCTTGAAAATAATGGTTGCTTGTAGAATATATAGTTAAGAAGATTGAAGAAAGTATCTTCTCAGCCACGCGGTTGCTTTCTGGTAATTGGAAGTGTTGATTGATGGATTATCCTAACCAATGGTGTTAGCAAACGTAAGCCACTCTCCATTCCATGCCTTGTGGACCTCTCTTATCTTCTTTCTTTCCCATCTCTACAACAAAGACAAAGACTTGCATACAATTTGGCTTGTGTGCTTCTCTTGGGTCGAAAATAACAAATAGTGTTTGAAATGAAGAAACTTGAACCTGATGATGAGCTAGCTGCTTAGTTAGCTTAGGTGTCAATCTCCTTTTTGACAATTCATGCGACTTTCTTGACTCCTGAGTTGAGTGTAACGTTTAATTTGCAAATTATGGTATTTGTAAAGTAATCATACTATCTGTATTAAAAACCAAAAATAATACGTACCAAGTATTATACAACAAATTTGTCATCATATGTAGAATTGATGGTCGCACTTTTGTCATGATATAGGTTACTTTAATTTAGATGAACAACAAACCATCATGACTACTTACGCAGAAGATGAGGATCAATTTGCGTCGCCTAATATCGACAAACGAAATGCTCAATTGTCAAGTTAAATCAAAGGAAAAAGGCAAAGGCTTTTTTCATTTCAAGCCAATCATGCAAGTGGGGCTTTGCACAAAGTGACCTCACTCTCCAGTTTGGTTTCTAGTGTTATATATATATTTTATTTATTGCAATTTGGTCTCTGGTGTTTAGCTTGATCCACTACAAGTTGATGGGTCAATTTTTAGGTCCAATCTTTTTCAGGGCTTGTTCACTATATGGTTGTCATTTACTTGACTGATTTGGGGTGACTTGGTTTTTATGCAGTTTCATTCATGGTTGGTGTGCTGTGCTGTCATCTAAAACCCTATTCCGACGTGCTCTCTCTGTGCTCATTCATTCATGAATCAAACTATGAGGTTGAGAGATGCCTGCCTGCCTGGCTTGTGGGATTAGGCCACGCTTGCACGCCACGGTACCCTTATTTTAATTTGAAATCAAAGTGTGTGAAAGTTTATGCATTAATTTGGTTCCAAATTTCCAAATAAAACAAGTAAGCAGAAGAACCCTAATTTCCATATTGGCCGAACTAGCGGTTCATTCATGTCGTCTGAGTATTGAACATGTTGGGACAAAAAATTTGTTGTCCAGGATACTTGGCTTGGCTGGCTGAATTACCTTTCGTGTGAGAAGATAAGCATAATAAAGATTAAAGCATTCTCTCCTTCCAAAACTCTGCCTGTGAAAACGACCCAATAGTTTGTCTTAAACGACCATGATTACCCATATTTCTTCTTTTCGTTCGGGTAAGTCTCTGATGTGGTGTGTGTGGATAACCTTACCAAATTCATGCTGGTCTTGGCTTGGTGTTTAGGTGCTTTATAATGACGCATTTTGGAAAACGATTCGTGCCAAATGTCTGCCTCTGCCGACGACAACTAGCAGGCAAAATTTTGGTGCCTAAAAATCTGGAGTGACTTGTATGGTTGTCCAATCATTAGGAAGAAGGGATTAAATCGCTGTCGCTGTCGTTGTTGTATGGTTTCAAGTTTGAACATCAACAATTCACTCTTCCTTGGTCACCTATAGGTTGACATTTTAGTTTTACCTCGTCCCTTAAGCTCAAAATATCTCTACAGTCACTTCTTGTGTGCTTCTCTAATCCATTTTTATTTTCTTCGATTATTATTATTATATCTTCAAATTCCAATCTGATAAAAGAAAATTGCTGAAAGGCAAACACTGAACAGAGGGAAACTTGCAATTTAGCAAAACCCAGAAAGAGCAAAGATATACTGGTACTATCCTAATGGATCTAAGAATAATAAATGAGCCCAATATCAAATGCCCATTTGGGTACAATAAGACCAACCCACTATCATTTCTACCTTATTTGTTTTTGGTCCCATTTGATGCTTTTGGTGTGTTAGCCCAACTAGAGAGAAGACTAGAGAGACAGATTTTTTTTGTTTTTGGAGAGATAGACTTGTGCCCGTTTGGCATTGATTCTTTGGGGTGATAATTTATTTTCTTTAAAAAAAATTAGGAAGCCCAGCCTGTTTAGTAACCTATGAGGAAATAACTTATTATTAAAAATTATTGTGGGAGACAGTAATAAGGGAAAGCAACTGCTTTTCTTTATTGATTATACGTCAATCAAATTTGAGAAGGCATTGGGTTTTAATGAATTTTACAAACTATTTTCTCTCACAGCAAATTTAGCAGTGATTATTTTGATACCTCATCAATCCAAAATTAGCCCTTAAAAGAATTAGAATGCTATGATTCAATAACATATTTGGCCACTATATGTGAGTCATGACTACCTACAATGATTTCACAATCTAACATATCCACTAAAATATACCATGCACTGCCCTACACTACTAATTCTCTTTCTTTATTCTTTTTAATAAGATAATATATAACTGAGGAAATCAAAGATGATAGTCATAAATAATAAGGATCCAGATCCAACGGTAGACGTTGACTCTGTTGTTAAATTAATCAGATATTAATA